GCAATCTGAAGCTATGCAGCGCTTCATCTCTTAGTGTTTTTCTTTCCGGAGCGGAATTATGTTTTCCTCTGTCCAAATGATGAACTAAACTTCCATGATACAGAAACCGCGCCGAACATCCGGGTATTGGGCAACGAAACGTGCGGCTTGAAGTTTGTTCTTCTCGGAAATTGTGTTCATCTTCGTGTATCACGTTTTCCTTGTAAATCTTGATGGGTAGGTATGTTTTCTGAACGCTGTAACCCAGTTTCCAAAAAGATGGAAGAGGAGAACGATAGGACGAGACTCCAATAATGCTTGACTTTTCCTTCATGGAATTGGTCTGTAATGTAGTATCTAACGAGTGATTAATTTTCAACACACCTCTCTTGCAGTGAAACCTCCTGAGCTGATAATTTCTAGAGAAGCCTTGTTTGCCAAATTGCTGTTCACTTTGATTTTGATTCCGTTCCCAATTCCGTGATAACGGCGTGCGATCAGGAACATTGGTTCAACTGTAAAATCATACAGTCCGGACATCCCTGTGATTGACACTGTAGTTTTTTTGGTGTCTTCTCTGTTTGCCAGATCGGCAAGATAGTAGCTGACGCCGTTGAGTGGTCTCACTTTCAAAGCCTCAAAAAATTCTTCACTTGTAGTGACGTCATTCCCCCTGTCGACATGCTCTCGAACCTAACAACTGAGTAGTAAATATGAGAACAAATGAAAAAAAGAATTACCTGTCTTTTTATTTGACTTGCTACTCTATCACAGCTACCTTTACCATTCTGTGGCTCTGAGAATGCATAACGTCGAATATTCACACCTGTTTTTTCGGAAATAGCACTCAAAGAGAACATGGTCTTTGCGGAATGATAACACCCTGAAGTGCATTTTTCAATGTGTAGCTGAACTCTATATTATACCCGCGTTATCAGACCGCAAAACCACATTCTTGATTCCCAGACTTCCGATCTCTGACAAAATGTGTGTGTGACTCTTGCCGAAATCATTTGGATGGAAATTAAAAATAACCCCAGCATCTTCCTTGGAAAAGACGAGGAAGCGGATCAAGAAGAGATTGATGATAATGTGTCACACACCACCCTTTCTCGCCGTCGAACTACGACACAATCTCCAGCCACATCAACTCCTTTCAAACGCTGGAGAGATGAATTGTTCAAATGATCACGTAGTCCTCAAATGAATAAAAATTTTTTCTCGATCTTGCCATTATCCAAGAACGTAAGCGCGCAATGGTCGAGGCAGTGGAACTGCGTTCAGTTTTTCAACTGTGAGATATTAGAAGTCGACTTATTATCAATATGAGATTCCCAAAATTTGAGAATGCTATATTTTCCTTGGAAATGCGCAAACAAGCTCTGTGGGAACGAGGAAAAAATAATTTTACATTTTTTCGACAAAAATTTTTTTTGTGTTTTTCAAAAAAATCGTTATAACAAAAAATAGTCTAGTTTTTTTTTGGTGGTCCAAGAGACTTTTTTGTGAGAAATTGCATAAGGAATCCGAAAAAAATGTGAGAAAAGACCCATTCTATAGAAAAATTTTGTGAAATATGCAAATTCATGATTGATGACGACATTTCATGGTATAACTTGGCCGAAACGCAATCGTTTCGTCTAAAAAATTGTGAGCGCATTATTTTTGGTGCACAAAACGTAAATTTGATAGAATTGAGACAAAAAAAAATTTCGAATTTTTTTCGAAAAAAAAAAATTTTCATGGGGGGGACCCTTTGGTGTTTTTCAAAAAAATCGTTATAACAAAAAATAGTCTAGTTTTTTTTGTATGGTCCAAGAGACTTTTTTGTGGGAAATTGCATGGGGAATCCGAAAATCATAGTTAAAATGACACCTGGTATTCAAAATTTTTGAGAAAAAGTGAAAAAACTGAAATTTTGAACCCATTTGAGGTACTTCCCGACCTTCTAGAAGCTCCAAAATTGGCATGGAGGTGCCCAATGGTACCCAAAACACCCCCTGAAAATTTCAGAAAGATTACTAAAAAACTAAAAAAATTTGAATTTTTGACTTGAAAAGTCCATTTTCAGATATATTTTCAGACATAGGTGGATTATCGATCCGAGATCAACTTTTTTGGTAACCATTACGATGGGTGTTCATGTGCACCAAATCTCGTTTGGATCGGATAAACTTTTTGCAACTGTGCCAAGCCAATTCCTCCACTTACAGATAGGGCCTCTTAATACTGTAAAAAAAACTATGAAGGTTTTCAGGCCGATTGATGTTCGATTAGCTGCTCATACCATGGTTGATTTTAGATGATTTTTTTTTGATTATTAAAAAAGCTCAAACAAATTGATTTTAAAAAAAGATTGTAGCAGTTGTTATACATGGATTTCCAGTTTCCCAGAACAATCTCAATATGGCCTATGAAAGTCTGTTTTGTACAACATTTTTTGGAGAGACTATTTCTTTTTGA